GTCCATCCAACCGTCGGTCCATCCGTCCGTTCGTACGTTCCAAAATTAGTTTCCGTTCTCTAACTTTAGTTTGCCTCGACCGAATTTAATATATAAATGCTTATTACTACAACACACAGATCAAGTTAGAATTTGGGTTGCGTCACTTTTACTGTTCTTAAGTTATATAACGTTTTATGCAAGTGGGGGCATCATCTGTGTCCCATAGACAGATTCTCCATTTATTTACATTTTTATTCACAGATTCTAAAGGCAGATTACAAAAACATGTATTACTTCGTATCGTTTCCTCTTTCGCTGTAAATTTCTGTCCCATAAAATGAAAATCATGATAAATAAGAATAATGTTGGAAGTAAGTAAATGATGCAGCAACCTTACGAAAATATTTAACAAAAAACCAAACAAACACAAGGAACCAAAATAAATAAATGAGTATTAGAATATTCAGGAAACATAATTGAATCAGAACCCCCTTCAAAAAAGCACAAAACCGGCAAAATCAAAAGAACACCTACGACCATTTCTTTCCCCTACGTTTTTTTGGGGTATTTCATACTTAACAAAAACTACCATACAGTCGCCCAGCCCTGTACTAACCAATCTGATTAAAATACGGATCCTGTGTCCATGATTTGCTTACATGTAAGCAAGGTGTGGACAAGGGATCATCACATTCTAAACTATAGATCTACGCCGTTGTCAACCTGCTTTGAATATTTCATATTATTTTTTACTTGAAAATGATTTTTAGAAGAGCTAGCTGATATATCTGATTCCGTAATGTATTATGGAGAAAATCAGACGCTGTCTACAGAATATACGAATAGCACAGGTAAATTCTGGATATCAATTTTATTTTTAGAAAAAAGTATTACTTATTGCGCATAGTTTGCATAATTTTGTATCTTGAAATAAAATTTATGATTTTTGAAAACTTCTTTTGATTCATTTTTAGATAAGCCTTAGTCATTTATTCGTAAATTATCGTACGATTTCAATAGAACAAACAGGTTTAACTTATCAATGTATATGCCTAGCTGCGATTAGAGGGGCTTATGTTTTAGGTATGTGCGTTTGCCCGATTGTCTCGTATCAGGTAAACGTTTAGGTTTACGGTATATTTTGGTCACATTAACTTGAAACTTAGTACACCTGTTCATTATGAAGTCAATGTTTCGAAATATATGCGGGCCAAATGAGGATTATGACCCAGATTTCACGGTTGCATGCACTTGTAATGTGATAGTGTAAACTGAGAACGATGTCCAATTGCCACATATTCTTGTTTTCTAAATGTTAAACGTAATGTTTGTAGGGGAAATAAATACAACGTTGGCGCAACCTGTGAGAACAAGCGAGGAACAAGTCTATGTTCTGTCCAACATGTCAAAAGAGAAAGACCATTCAGGTATTAAGATACTTTAATAAATATCAACAATATTTGTTGTGTCCTTGTCTGACTAACTTTCAACACACATCCTTCTGTGCCCTAAGTTAAAATTTGTACACGCGTTAGGACTAGAGAATTTATAAGTACGGTTGGTTCTTAGAATTTGTTGATGTCTAAGTGTTAGACAAGACATTTAATAAATCCGCTATTGTAAAAAGTCAAATCACTGGATATCACCTATCAATATATTTTAAAAAAAGTTACACGAACGAAGGAACTACTGACTCTTCCGCAGTACTTGCGATCATCTCGATTTTTGGTGATGTTAAATCTTTTGTTTTCTGTGTCACAGCAGTATTTTTGTGTTACAGTAGTGTTTTGTGAATGGTTGTTTGTCTTTTGTCAATTTTTCTTGTTATGAACTACCTTGAATTATGGGGCTTGATTGCGACATTGGTATCGTAATCAGCTTTTTCTCTTCGTACACATTTGTACAACCGATTTGTGGTGCCGTTACACCACTGTCCCAGGTTTGAGGGGAGGGTTGGCGCCTTCAAACATGTCTAGCCCCGCAATTTTTTTAATTGCCTGTCCCAAACCAGAAGCCTGTAGTTCTGTGGTTGTCGTTTGTTCATGTCTGTCATATTTGTTTTTCGTAATTGCTTTATCATAAATTAAGCCGTTAGTTTTCTGAATTGAATTGTTTCATATTCATGTCAGGGCTTTTTATGGCCGACTATACGGTATGGTTTTTTTTCTCATTGAATGTCGTACGGTTGCCCATAATTGCTTACAACCACTTCATTTGAACTTTGGTGGATAGTTGTCTCATTGGCAATCATACCACATCTCCTTATTTTCATATTTTGTCCAAATTATGTAGTTTAACGCTTTATCAATTCCATTGATATATCTATCATAAAGACAATAACTACATTTATTCTTTTTATTGTGTATACACATACTCAACAATCTGATCGATTTTTTAAAATTTTTATAATAGTCGATAAAATATATATTAGCATATACATCAGCAGCAGTGGGATGTTTCGTACTTGTAATTGTATTAGCTTACTATAAATGGAGAAAAGTATCTGGGAATCATCAAAAATCCAGGACATATCGAATAGTTAATATTGATCCACCAGACGTACACATTAGAGGCGAAGCTTTATACGAAACTATCGATGCCAACATCATGCATCAACATAACAATCTCGTTATTGACCCTGAAAATAGGACCAAGGACGTTACAAGTGAAACTCACGAGGATAAGATTTCATTGGGGAATGCAGAATGTTTAAATTCATATTTGGAATTTGTTTCAGAGTTGAACGAAGCAAATGCTTCTCATTGCTAATGATTAGTATACAGACAAAATGAGAACAATGAAACATAGACCAAATAACACACGATTATGGTGTACTAGACTGTGCATCAACTCAATTTTTAGGAATCACTTTGAGACCAGGTAATTTGGTTGACTGAAAGGAACGTCCATATAAGTCAAAAGTAAATTGACACTGTTTTGTAGGGTCTAAAACCGCGATGCGTATGATACATGCAAACTATTTTTGAACATTGGCTTTAAATTGCGAATGATGAACAAAAGATAATAACTCGAGATGAATTTTTCCGATTAAAAGAAATTCTAATTACAAAAAAATATCATCTGAAATCCATAATGCGAGTTTTTTTTTTATTTTTGCGAAAACTATCTCATTGGATATCTCGCAATAATAAACACAACATTTCTAAATATACAAGAAGAGTTTATTAAACAGGTAGGCCTTATGCGTCGGTGTACATGTTAATGATGCTGTATAAACTATTCTTTCAATTACTTTTCCGTACAATTCAGACACCTAAAGGGGTATGTAAATATGGTTCACTTTGGTCTTCTTCCGACTGGTTTACTATGGCCATTCCACCCACCCCCTTCCCTCCCCATGCTAATTTTTACGGGGGGAAGAGTTGGATCACCAACTTTTATCCCTTCTAACCCCTATTGCAATACCTACTTATTATTTTAGTGGCAATTTGTTCTTGTCTTGAACATGCACGAACATTTGCCCCCAGACCCAAAGCAAACAAAGATAAATTCATTAAGTATGTGTCTGTCTTGACTTTCCAAACTTTTAGGCTAGTTTAATATATAGTTATACTAAGTGGACAACCAGTTGATTCTGAGCTGGGGGCCTGGTAGATTTTGTAAATAAATATTCGGCCCCCCACTAATTGTGAAGTAAATAATCTTACTTTATTATTATTATCACACATGAAAATAAATTTCGCTTTCCGAACTGCTGTCAAGGATACCTCGGGGGCTGAGAATTACGTTATTTCGCACTGGCATCATTTTGCCATGGTGAACCCTTCCATACCTTTATATGCTAAATGAGGTTTTTTCTTTGTTGAAGGCCCTACGATGACCGACACTTGCAAACATTTACTTCCTTTGGTCTCTGGTGGACCGTGGTCTCATGGCAATTATACCACCTCTCCGTACATTATATCAATGGTAAATATTGAATATTACGGAATACCACACGTAGACGACACTAGACAGATAAGAGAACAAAGCGAAATGATAGTTTCAGTTTTCCATGGGCGGATCCAGAGACTATATTCAATATTGTATAATGGTATGTGAAATCTGGCAATGTTAGTCCACGCACATTCTTACACTATAAATCATTTGACGATTTTTTTTTCTTGTAAAGAAACAAAATCTTAAGCCAAAATATGTATATATCATCTATCTTTTTGAAGGAGGGCTAACTGCGTATGTTGAATAATTGTGTATGCGCCTACATACAGAGTATATATGTCTCTTAGTTTATTCGATATTCAAGGGCTTGTATTTTCTATCATGATTTCCTGGAGAGAGGATTGCTGCTCACCAGGAAGTTATTAAACCAATAGTTCCAAGTGGTGAAGTTGAAATCATCCCTTCGTAAATTTTACGGACGCCATCACGAGTTGGTTGACCGTTGTGGAATATCTGTTTCACGGATGACGACGGATATGATCCAATGTCGTAACTACAATCACGTTCCCTTTTCCCCGAATGTGACCTACCGAATTAGACTTATGACCAGGTTTGTACTTACATGATCAACAGCACGGGTGCCACATGTGAGGCAGGATCAGCTTACCCTTCCGGAGCACATGAGATCAACCCTAGTTTTTGGCGGGGTTCGTGTTGCTCAGTTTTTTTGTTTTCTATGTTGTGTTTCGTGTACTGTTGTTTGTCTGCTGTCCTTTTTTGCCATGGCGTTGTCACATTATTTTCGACTGATGAGTTTGGATGTCCCTTTGGTATCTTTCGACTCTCTTGAAAAAGTATATAGAGAAGCCCGGATACGATACATTTGGTGCTGAAAGTTTTAAGTGTTCCATGTGACAGTTTAACACTATTGCATAACTTATACTCAATATTTTGTTATGGAAAAATTTCGTAGTCGCGTTCGGTATCAACAATTGCAAAGGTATATTTTCACGTTCTTTCTATTGTAAATGTATGTACGATCAGAATACTGCAGAATCGTACGTTACCCCCAAATGACTCATCGATGAGAATAAAATTAGTATAAACATGACACGACAAATATCAAATAAATATAATATAAGTATTTAGTAAATTTAATTCTGGTTATTGATGAACTTACAAAATATTATTTTATAATATAAAATATTCTACATGCATAAATATTATGTTATTAATATTTCTTCTACTATGAAACTTGTTTAACCTTCTCCTTTTCCCCAGTTACCAATAAAACAATAAAAATGAATCATTACATATTGTTTTCTTTCAAATTGCTTTTTTCTTAACATTCGTGTACTACATATCATTAATAAATTTTGTTATTGCGAATATTTATCTTGTTATACAACTATATATAACTACAAAAAGTAGGAATTTGCTAAACAATAAGATTACCATTGTCAATATATATATATATCTATAAAACTTTTCACTTTGCTTTTCGATGTTATCAAATTTAATAGATACTACATATTCATTCGTTACAATTGATAAACCCAGATAACAATAACGCAATAAACTACACACCTTTCCCCTTCGATAGAAACAAAAGACAATCGAGGACCCGAAGGTTTGATGTGTTCACTGTACAACCGACCTGCATCATGTTGTTCAAAAACCCAGCATATACGATCAAGCACCACTGTAGACTTGCAGTTCGTATCGAGATGTATTTACCTATCTGAAAATTCCTGAATTTATTTAAGTTTTTTTTGTACATTTTAGACTAAATTGACAGGCTTTTTTTTCCCTTTTTCTTAAATAATAAACATCACACGACAAAGCTTTCTATGATGTTAAGTTTATTTTCAATAATAAGCAAAAATCTTTAATTGTTTTCAGAAACTAGTTGATATATAATGGAAAGATTACTTGATTAATAAGGGTTTTAATATTCATTTTAATGTTTCAATTTTTGTTTTTTTTTAGAATTGCACATTCTATCTATAGGTAATTTTTCTTTTGTATTATCTGTGTAATTGTCATATTATATGCCAAACAGGAACTAAATAGATATTCTGTTCAAAGTAGTATGACATAATGAAAATGTATTTTAACATTTTAATTGTGATGAAAGATTTTGACAATATGCGTTAAACCAAAACACGGTACAGCCTTTTTCAATCAAAAAGTTAAAAAAACAATTGGATCAAAAAAATCCGTCCTTCCTTGCGTAATATGAGATGCACGATCGTACACGTCGGTTTTAAAACAAAACGACTAGAGTCGGTTGTACGACGTTATGTCCAAAGGTCTTAATTAAGTGAACATATGTGAAACAGGGATAACAGTAACAAAAAAAAAAACAACAACAAAACAAATATATATATATATATATATTAAAAAAAATGAAAATACACTTTCTTCATTCCCCAAAAATAAAAGAATTCTACAGTATACATGTATGCCATATAACAGCATTTTACAATGCTCTAAATATCAGCCCTTTTTAAAATCTATCAAACACAATTCATTACTGAAAGACTACAGATGAAATACTTTGAGATCTTATTTAGGATTTAAAGGTATGTTGAAATTCATGTATTACACTTCATATTGACCATTACAAAATAACATAAAAATTCTATTGAAAGCATCGTAAAAACAGGTTTGGGAGAAAACTCCAATAAGTTTCAATTAAAAAAGTGGTTTTTATCTGTATTAGTAAGGCGGAAACAGAAAAATATTACCCGTTCCGTACCTTTAAACCCATTTTGTTCATGTCAAAAATACATTTTACAGTTTTTTATGCTATGAATCTTAAAAACCTGATTTTGCATGATCGTTTAACATGTTTAAAGACTACTACTTACAAGTCATAATTATAATGTTTACATACATATTCATCCATAAAATCCTCTATGCGTAGGTTGAACAAGTCTATCATTAATATAAAACCTTTATATGTACAGTTACACATATATTAAAAAGTATACATGAAAAATGTAGGTAAACAATTACAATCAATTTTTGGTACATAAATGATTAAAATAGTAGTTGTTTTTGATATATATGATAATGGAATCCATGTTACAAACTGCTTTAAACCTTATATTAAGCGACTACGAAACAGGACAACATGGACTATCATCATTTTCTAACATCGACGCTAATAAATCAAGAAGGCGCTAAGTTTATACTTTCATCGACATCATCTTTATCACCGTCGTCAGAAAAACTTTGCCGGAAGGGCAATTATATTCGCCAAAACCCTCTGCTAGATGCTTCGTCGTATTCGTCATCTCCCTGTTCATCGTCCTCATTACCACCTGTAAGTGAGCCTTCCAATGTTCTTTTAAGCAATTTTTCTATCTGCCTATGGCCCAAACGTTTTGCAATATACATTGACGTTGTAGAACCATCATGAGCTGTATATTCAACATCAGCTTTGTTTTCTAGAAGTGACTGTACGATGTCCTTATTCCCATTTTTACAGGCAGACATCAGTGCTGTCCATCCGTCTTTGTCTTCAATGTTAACTTTAGCTTCGTTACGAAGTAACATTTTAACTGTATCTTTGTGTCCAGCTTGACAGGCAATTTTCAAAGGTGTCCAACCATCACTGTCCGCTTTATTGATATCGGCCCCATGATTCAAAAGTATTTTTGCGACCTTTGTATGACCCATTCTGCAAGTGATTTTAAATGCTGTTGATCCTTTACTATTAGCTTTGTTGATATCGCTAATGTTGCTGACTAAAAGATTGACAAGATCAATGTGGTCACCTTTACAGGCTGACATTAAGCATGTCCATCCATCTTTATCTACTAAATTGACATCGGCACCATTCTGGATCAAATACATAACTATCTCTTCGTATTTCTTACTTGAATCTGAATCAAATGATGAGGTATCCTTACATTCTTCTGGAACTCCTATAATCTTTCCACAATCCAATCTGTTTGTAGGGTCACCCACACATGCGCCTTTCAGTGGAGTCCATCCCTCTTTGTCAACTTTATTAACATTTGCCCCCTTCGACACTAAATATTTCACTGTTGATGCCTGTCCATTATTGCAAGCGATTCGTAAAGCTGTCCAACCATCAGTTTCTGTCATTTCAATATCTGCTTTGTATTTAAGGAGTAGTTCAGCGATATCAACATGACCCTTTTGACAGGCAGACATCAGTGCTGTCCATCCGTCTTTGTCTTCAATGTTAACATGAGCTTCGTTACAAAGTAACATTTTAACTGTATCCTTGTGTCCAGCTTTACAGGCAATTTTCAAAGGTGTCCAACCATCACTGTCCGCTTTATTGATATCGGCCCCATGATTCAAAAGTATTTTTGCGACCTTTGTATGACCCATTCTGCAAGTGATTTTAAATGCTGTTGATCCTTTACTATTAGCTTTGTTGATATCGCTAATGTTGCTGACTAAAAGATTGACAAGATCAATGTGGCCACCTTTACAGGCTGACATTAAGCATGTCCGTCCATCTTTATCTACTAAATTGACATCGGCACCATTCTGGATCAAATACATAACTATCTCTTCGTATTTCTTACTTGAATCTGAATCAAATGATGAGGTATCCTTACATTCTTCTGGAACTCCTATAATCTTTCCACAATCCAATCTGTTTGTAGGGTCACCCACACATGCGGCTTTCAGTGGAGTCCATCCCTCTTTGTCAACTTTATTAACATTTGCCCCCTTTGACACTAAATATTTCACTGTTGATGCCTGTCCATTATTGCAAGCGATTCGTAAAGCTGTCCAACCATCAGTTTCTGTCATTTCAATATCTGCTTTGTATTTAAGGAGTAGTTCAGCGATATCAACATGACCTTTTTCACAAGCAGACATAAGGGGAGTCCATCCATCTTTGTCTTGTTTATTTACTTTTGCTTTCTTTTTCAATAACAATTTTACAGTTGAAATGCTTCCATTTCTACACGATGATTTCAACGGGGTCCAACATTTTGTGTCATCCTTGTCTATTTCTGCTTTATTTTGAATAAGAAAAACGACAATGGCGTTATGACCACCATCACAGGCAAATCTAAGTGGTGTATATCCGTTAATATCGCTGGAGTTTAGATCTATTTTCATTTTGACAATCAAACGAACAATCGAAAAATGACCATTTTGACATGCTGCCATCAAGGAATTCAAGCCTTTGTTGTCACACTTACCTGCGTCTGCCCCTTTGGTTATTAAATATTCTGCAGTTTCAAATTGTCCCTGTTGTGAGGTAAGAATAAGAGCTGATGTGCCTTTCATATCACTCAAATTGAGGTCGGCGTTATGTTGTATTAACAGTTTCACTACATCGAGACAGCCGCATTGACTAACAATCATTAAGGGAGTTCTACCTTCCTCGTCAGTTTTATTTGGTTGTGCATCATTCTTTAATAGTATTTTCACGGATCTTGTAACACCCCCCTGGCATGCCATTCTGAGGGCAGTGTGTCCAATTTGGTTTTTGTTATTTATATTTGCCCCTCTTTTCAGCAGGTTCTCGATGATGCCATCGTGTCCACATTGACTTGCTAGCATGAGCAGACTATTGCCATCAACATCAGCCGTATCGATTTCATCTTCACTTTCAATTAAAATGTTAAATATTGATTGATAGCCACTCTTACAGACCATTTGTATCAGTTCTTTCCCATAAGTAGGTGTACTGTCTAGTAATGTTCGGATATCGTATTCCAAAGGATCATACAGTCCTTGACTAACAAGATAATCTACTATTTCATAATTTTTAGCGTAACAGGCGATCTCAAAGGCAGATATTCCTACAACCGATTTCATGTTCATGTCAGCTTTAAAATGAAGCAATAGTTTTATGCTTGATAGTGGACCCTTTTCACAAGCAATCATCAGAGAAGTTAACCCAGAGTTGTCACTCTTATTCACATTAGCATCATGTTTTAATAATATTTTAGCAATGTCTGTATGGCCTTCGACACATGCAAACATCAAAGCCGTTTTTCCGTCCAATGTTGCGAAATCTATGTCAATACCTTTTGTAACAATGATCTCTATTATTTTCGTTTGGTTCATCTTACAGGCATGCATCAAAGTGGTTAACCCTTCGCAATCAGGAGAATTTAAATCAGCTTGTTTGTCATCAATGATTAATTCAACCAATGCTTTGTATCCGTTTTTACAAGCCATTGTAAAAACATCATTCTCGCATCTCTTTTCATTACCGGATTCATTAGTACTGATACTTAGTAGATCTTCATGGTTTAATTTAATTCCCATTTCAATAAGATAATCAACAATTTCCCATGCGTTTGCTTGTTTTGCCAATATAAAAGGTGAACATGTCTTATCAGAAACAATAGTAATACTGGCTCCTTTAGAAACTAACGATTTTACTGTGGGCAAATCTCCTCTTTCACAAGCATACATAATTGGTGCTTTACCACGGTCATCCAATTTGTCCACGTCTGTTCCGTTTAATATGAGCAACTCTATCAATGGCACGTGTCCTTGGCTTGCTGCTGCTGTTAAAGGTGTGTATCCGTCTTTGTCCGCTTTGTTAAGGTAACTTCTGCAAGAGTCAAGGGCTATTTTGCTATTATTGTCAACGAATTTTTCTAGGAGTAGATCAACATTTTGTTTGTTTCCGTTCAAACATGCATATATCAAAGGAGAACTCCCCATTTTGTCTGGTTGAAATATATCAGCTCCTTGCTCGAGTAAATACATCAATGTTTCCGTATTTGCATCTTTACATGCTTTAGCTAGAGCAGATAAACCTTCTTCGTCGAACTCGTCAATGAGGTCCTTTAACATTAAATGGTCAAGTTCAAATGTTCTTCTATTCTTTATAAATAAATCCAAAACAACAAATTGTCGTTTTTCAATCACCATTTTTAATGGAGTCATAACACCTTTTTCTATCGATTCAATACTGCGACCTTGGTCTAGTAAACATTGAATTATAGGAAGATGCCCGATTTCGCACGCTTTTAATAAAGTTGCCTTGCTTTTGTCAGCTCCATTCTCAATAAGAAGGTTTGCAATTTCATCATCACTGTTTTTAATGGCGATGAGATAAGGGTTCCATCCATCTCGAGCAGATATATTTACATCTGCTTCATTACGGATAAGCAGTTCAACAAGTTGATTGTTTTGTGTTTCACAAGCGCTTATTAGCGGAGTGTAGCCGTTCATGTCAACAATATTGATTTTGGCTCCAGCTTTTATCAATAATTCAACAATTTCAAGGTACAGCCCTTGGCATGCAGCCTTTAACGGACTTATACCATTCTTGTCTGTTACATCTGTATCAACTCTATGATCAAGTAACTTCGAAACATTTTGAGTTTTCCCATACATGCAAGCAAGTAAAAGAGCAGATTGTCCAATATTGTTTTGCCTTTTCCAATCTGCATCATTTTTCAGCAACAACTCAATAATTTCTGCATCACTATATGTACATGCTATGATTAAAGGAGTGTCCCCTGTAGATTCACTATAACAATTGACATCTGTCTCGTATTCTAATAGAACACTGGCGACTTTGACTATTCCGACTTTGCATGCTGACATTAATGGTGTCCATCCTTCATGATCAACCTTGTTAATATCTGCGTTTTTCATCAATAGTTTCTTGACAATTTGATAATGTCCATTGACAGAAGCACTTTTCAGTGGCGTCCATCCCTCTTCGTCTTCTTTGTTCATGTCTGCATTATTATTCAAAAGCAATTCTACTGTGTCTTCATCGCCTACCCTGCATGCAGTTTTCAGAGGAGTCCAACCATCATTATCTACCAAATTAACATCAGCTTTGGCAATAATTAGGATCTCAACAAGGCTGGCTTTTTTATTTCTACATGCAATTTTCAGGGGAGTCCATCCTTTTTTGTCAGCTTTATTAACATCAGCCCCATTCTGAATTAGAATTTCTGAGGCTTTTAGGTGTCCTCTCAAACATGTGAAATGTAACGGCGTCCATCCGTCAACATCAAACACATTGACATTTGCTCCATTCTTGATAAGAAACGACATTACTTTACTCTTGTTATTTTGACATGCTGCAATCAATGGGGTTAATTTCTTCACACTCTGGTGGTTTACACATGAGCCGTTTTCTACGAGGAGTTTTGCAATTTCTTCGTTACCAGACTGACATGCTGACATGAGTTCCGTCCAGCCGTCGTTATCTTGATTGTCCAAAATGACTCCAATCTTCAAAAGGCATTCGACGATTTCCGTATGTCCGTTCGCAGCCGCAGTTTTAAGTGGTGTCCAACCTTGTAAATCTGGTATGTTAATATCCGCTTCATTTGACATAAGTAATGTACATATCTTTAAATGGCCTTCCTTACATGCAGTTTTGAGAGGTGTCCAACCGTCCTTGTCTTTCCTGTTTACTTCTGCTCCTGCATTGATGAGAAGTGAGGACATTTTATAAGATCCATTCTTGCATGCTATTTTAAGGGGTGTGTAACCTTTTTTATCAGGTTTATCGACATCAGGATTTTTCGGAAGAAGAAGGTCAGCAGCATTATATCTGTTATTGTTACACGCAACTCTAAGTGGTGTCCACCCATCATTATCATCAAGATCAACGTTTGCATTGTTTTCAAGAAGTAAATTAATGGCAGCAATATGATCATTCTGAATTGCAGTCATGAGTGGCGTTATTCCTTCTTTACTCCTATAATTTACATCTGCATTTCCACATATAAGCAGTTTTGCAACCTTTTCATGCCCCGTTTGACAACTTGACATAAGTGGAGTCCATCCATCATTGTCAGCATGATCAATTTCAAGTTTATGCGTATTCAACAAGATATTAACAACTTTACTGTGCCCATTCAAAGATGCTATTTTCAAAGGTGTCCATCCGTCATTGTCTGCCATGTTAAGGTCTAATGTTTCTTCGATTAAAAGAACTTTAACAATGCTTTCTGCTCCTCTTTTACAAGCTCGACTAAGCGGCACCCATCCTTCATTGTCACGGGAATTCAAGTTTGCTCCTAATTTGATAAGACTTTGTACTGTCCCTTTTTCTCCATTAATGCACGCCATGGCTAAGGCTGTCTTACCGGATGCATCTTTCGTATCGACTTCGAAACCTTTGTTTTTTAACAATGAAATAATACGATCTTGCCTTTCCTCAAACGCTATAACAAGTGGTGTCCTTCCATCTCCGTAAACCGTGCTAGTGTGAGCTTCATTGTCTAGAAGTAATGAAACTATATTTTCATGTCCACTGATACATGCATATTTTAGAGCTGACATTTTGCTTTTGCTTAACTTGTTGATGTCTACCTCTCTTTGTATTATCAATTGTACTGTTTCATATAAACCCTTGTAGCATGCTAACATTAATGGGGTAGTTCCTAATGCATCAACTTTATCGACATTTGACCCTGCTTCAATCAAAAGGTTTGCGACATCCTGATTTCCTCGTTGACAGGCAGCACTTAAAGCGGTCCATGAATCATCCCAAACAATATTCACATTGGCATCACTTATCAACAGTCTTACTACTGATAAAGGGTACCCTTGACCAACTGTAATCCTGAACAGAGCTGAAACTATTTTATCCTTGACATTTTGCTCTACATGGTGTAACATAAAGGTAACAAGCTCTTCATAGCCTTGACTACATGCTATTGCTAATGGGGACCCCTGAAATTGTCCGTTGGTAGCGATTTCTTGTAGGTCTTTTGTATTTATCATACCAATTATCCAATCCTTACCCTTTTTAGTGAATTGATCACTCAGTTTTTGTCTAAATGCAGGAACTTGCATTTGTCTGCAATAAAATACATTGTAGTATTTTTGAGACACATCATCAAGTATTCGCCTGAAATAACGTTCCTCCTGCGAGATATTTACAGAAATGAAGTATTTCCCAAGTGTTTCTTGAGTACATTGTATCACCAATTTTTCATAAAAGACCTTTTCATCAGCCAACTGCAAGAACAAATCTTGCATATTCTTGTGTGCACAGAAGTAACAACAAAGAAAATGTAACATCATTGGATTTGAAATTTTGTACTTATCCCCATCTTTTAAAACATAAGTTCCGGGATGATCCGATAAGCTGGTTCTCACTTGAACACAGTCGAGTGAATATTTTTCTAAAATTTGTCGAATTTTATCGGTTTCCAGTTGAATGTCATGTTTTTTAAAACATGAACTGCTTATACAACCATTATTTATTGTAATTGCAAACAATGCACAATGTTTTGACTTATCATTTAAAAACCAGTCATCCAATTGTTCTCTTAAAGAATTTTCAAATTCAACGGTGTTAACAATTTGCTGCGGTACAAGTTGACTTGCATAATCGGGTGCTAAATCCTGAATATATTTACTGAAGAACGAATCAGTTTTCGAAAAATCAGTTTTCCAGTACACGCGTGCGGTGAAAGAAATCAATATTTTTGTCTTTTTTGCCTGTAACATTGTTTTGAAACTACTGTCGTGTTCGATCAAATACCGAACAGACTCTTGCATGGGAAATAGCCGACCACAAGCATCTTCTAGAACAAACAATTGCTTCCTATCAACCTTATAGTGATGTACCAGTTCAACTGGTGTTTTGATAGGGATAATAACATAACAGTTATTGCGCTCTAAAAAGGCAAGTGCAATATGATGTAACATAGCGGTTACTTCCTCATTTTCTGTTCCTACCAGTGCCAGACATGATGAATCTTCAAACTGTGTTTGCAAGTCGGATATAACATATTTGGTGTTGATAATGTCTGTTGTCTTTTTCCAGGTCCCTATTTCTAGTTTGTGCAAATCTGTGAATAAAAAATCGTTCTTGAAACAAAGTATGCTAGGGGTAGGGGTAGGGGTAGGGGTAGGGGTAAGGGTAAAGGTAAGGGTAATGGTAAGGGTAAGGGTAGGGTAGAAATACTAACATTGAACGTTGTAACCATAACGCTGTAGTGAATGTTTAGATTTTATAGATATCACGACGATTAAACGTATATTGCATCATAACGTATTTATTGAGAATCCACAACAAAGCTGAAGTTCGTGCTGGACACAAAGAAGCCGTCACGAAGTTACTGGTAAAATTCGAAGAGTTAAAATAAAACACAGACACAGAAGTTGACGAAGTGAAAGCGATCGATGATGTCGTCACGCAGAAACAGAAAACATTGAATGGCCTGAATAACAGACTCTTAGATCAAACATCGGAGGAAAATCTGGAACAGGAAATCACTGACTCATATGAGTATATGTATGAACTAGATTGCAAGCTTAGACAAATTCGTAAATTTATCAAGTCTTTAGAATCAAACACTAAAACTGCACATGCTAATGTTGATCCTTCAACGAACAGACTTAACACAAACGCATTTAATTTCATACCAGAGGTCAGAGTTGATATGAACACATGTGCAATGAACCAACAGTATTCAATTCACGCCCTTGCAGTGCATACCCGTCCGTCAGAGAATTAATCGAATATCACGTTTCAAGTCCCGTCAGAACCGAGATCTGCAAAAAGTAATTACCATAGGCTTCCAAAGTTCGACTTGCCCTATTTAAATGGAGATATACTCAAGTGGCAGACATTTTGGGATTGTTTCGAGTCAACTATACACCATAACGATACTTTAACGCCAATCCAAAAGTTCAATTATCTTAAAGCCCAGCTTGAGGGAAGCGCCGCGCAAACAATAGACGGGTTCGTGTTGACCAATGCAAATTACGAAACCGCAGTCAATCTTCTTAGAGATCGTTACGGACAACCTAGTTAACTGGTTCATGCTTACATGAAAGCACTCATGAACTTACCCGCACCGACAAATGATGTATATAGCTTGAGGTCTTATTGACACAAACTAGAATCCTGGTAGCAAGTCATTTCGTACCTTGGTAATTTCGTACCTCTGCAATTTCGTACCCAACATCTACCATTTCGTACCATTGATAAAAACCATACGGTACACTATGGGCAAAATGAATCGACCATTTCCTACCTCATGGACTATATACATGTTCACTATTTCGTATCTTATATTTGTAAAAGTTCTAAAAAAAAATAGGATATCAAACTTTTTGAGAAGATTTTTTTTTATATATAGCATAAATAAAATGCATCCAGCCGTAGTTTGTTTGCAGGATTTATCCTTAATTAATGCCAAACTCGAGACGCTAGTACGGCCGCGTGTCTTTAGTTACAAATTTACAAAATCATTGTTATCGGCATAAATGCGAACTGTTACTAAAGCGCTAGCCAATACCTGAAATAAATATCATAAATACAAAGTTTTACAGATTTAAAAAAATCAGCAAAAGGTCAACGAGTCTTCTTAAACCAAGAAATGAAACACATATAAATCTTCCACAAGGTTCAAAATTGCACATATTCAAATCTTCCACGAAGTACAAAATGGAATACGTACAAACCTTTAATGAGGTCCAAAATGATTTGATTTTTTTGTGTGTTTTAACGCCACTTTTAAGCACCGCTTTTGACCTATTTCGTGGCGGCCAGTTTTTTATTAGTTGAGGAAGCCGGAGTGCCCGGAGAAAACCACCGACCTTCGATAGGAAAACTGACAATCCTAGTCAATTGAGATTGGAGTCGAGTGCACCCGCATGAGCGGGGTTCGAACTCACAACCTCAGTGTTGACTGGCTAGTGATTACAGTAGTAACTACTTAGACCACTCGGCCACCGAGACCCCTAGGTACGGAATGGTATACATATAAATCTTCCATGAGGTATGAAATGGTATACACACAAATCTTCCATGAGGTAAGGTACGAAATGGTATACATATAAATCTTCAATAAGGTACGAAATGGCGCATATCAATAAGACAGTTTTTTTTCCAAGAAATCAAAAACATATATATCTTTCATGACGTCGAAATAGTAAACTTATAAATCTTCCATGGGGTACGAAATGGCATACATATAAATCCTCAATGAGGTACAAAATGGCATACATATAAATATTTCATGAGGTACGAAATGGCATATATATATAAATATTTCATGAGGTACGAAATTGCATACATATAAACTTCCATGATACGAAATGGCATGCACATAAATTTTCAATGAGGTACGAATGTACATGTTAATTTTCCATGAGGTACGAATGTACATGTTAATTTTCCATGAGGTACGAAATGGTCAAGGAACAAAATGGTCAGGGTACGAAATGTTTTGCCAGGGTACGAAATGGGGGGTATGAAATGGTCAGGGTACAAAAAGACTATAATTCTGAATATTATGTGCGAGGATTAGTGTCACTTGGTCAAACACCAGAAATGTATAGATCGCTTTTGGTACCAGTTGTTTTGGACAAATTACCAATTGATATAAGGAAATCTATTGCGCGAGAACACGGGAGAGATAATTTGATATTGGAAAATCTACACAAATCGATAACTAAAGAGATTGACATACTCGAAGAAGGACAGGGAGTCACAGAAGCAGACACAGCGTTTTTCATGGGTACACAACCAAGATCACTAAACAAAAGAAAATTAACAGACGCACGGAAGAAGGTAAATACTAGGGATGGCAACTCGGTGCCGATTTACTAATCGAATACTCGTTGGATTTATCGAGTGATACTCGAGTACTCGCTCGCTAAACATTTACAAAATGGAAACAGAAGATTATACCAATTTTATGTATTGTTGGTCGTTGTCTTATGAACGTAAAAACCTCAACCATATTACCTAGGACTAGCTAATAGTCCAGAGAATGTTATACCTTAAGGAATAGCTCATTTAACACATGTACTAATTATGTAAACTGGCAATAATTAAATCAAGTAATTAATTAATATCTATAGAAAAATGATTACTCAAACAACAGTATTAGGGTACCGTAAAAACACATTAAATGATCAACAAACGGGTGATGATTAGAACTTACTGATGCCTCTAATCATGTTACGAGGGTCGAAACAGGGTGCAACGAATTATTCTTATTTAAAAATATTATATTTTTAACTTTTTTTGGGACGAGGATCTCAATTTTGTTAGGCAACTTACAGTCGTGCTGATGAAAATATATGCTCTGACGGTACAGAGGTGGGGTAATGACAAAGATTAGCAAAACGTGTAAGCCTTGCAAAAGTGCTCTTGTTTATAGCCCACCTCTGTTTTTGGGAATTCTAAATGACAGTTAAACGCAAACATTCGAATAGTATTTTTATTTTTATTAACTTTGAATATTACTTAATTTCCTGGAAGCCGCTCTCAATAATTTGTTTTGTGTAAGCTTCAGGAAACAACAACATTCTAACAGGAAACCGAATAGTCGAGTATCATTTTTGTAATCGATACTCGGTACTACCGAGCGATACTCGAGTACTCGAGTACTCGTTGACATCCCTAGTAAATACACGTACATGTATATTTTGTTCAGGTGAGCACGGATTGTACTGATGTAACAGACGCCAACACAAGAAACCAAATTATAAAACAGAAACAGTTATGCTTCAACTGTCTAGGGTCACACCGAATTGCAGCATGTAAGTCTAAAAAACGGTGTAAAAAATGTAACGGAATGCATCATACAAGAATATGTAAAGGGAAAGAGGATAATACAGGTACGAAGCAGGAGCCAAAAATACAACAAACAGCTATCAACGTGGTTGAAACAACAGATACAACTAGTGTAATGTATGCATTACAAAAAAGTCCCGAGATTCTCCTTAAAACAGAATCTGCACCAGTTACATATAACGGCCAAGTAGTAGAATGTAACATTTTATTTTACAAGGGAGCGCAGCGTTCTTTCATAACTCAGAAATTGGCTGATAAACCGACGGGAAAAGTCAGCATTCGGCTGTCTGTGTTCGGAGATTTATCTCAGAATGTTCGTAACTTAGACACTGCAACAATACAACAACAGACCGACACAGGAGAAACGGTGCATATCAACACACTAATTGTTCCACAGATTGCCGTCCCCATTCAGAACAAGATTTCAAATACTACAAGGAGCTTGCCACATTTGAGAGGACTTACACTTGTACATTCTGTACACAGTGGAGAACATTTTGAAATCGATATACTTATAGGCGCGGACTACTACTTGGAAATTATCATGGACCAAATTATAAGAGGAAAAGGACCCAACGATGTACAGTCAAAAATAGGATATTTATTATCAGGACCAATCAATAGAATTATCAGCCAGCCTTCAACATCTACAGATCTTGCAAAAAATCAGCAAAAGGTCAACGAGTCTATTTAAACCAAGAAATGAAACACATATAAATCTTCCACAAGGTTCAAAATTGCACATATTCAAATCTTCTACGAAGTACAAAATGGAATACGTACAAACCTTTAATGAGGTCCAAAATCATTTGATTTTTGTGTGTTTTTTAACACCACTTTTACGCACTGCTTTTGGCCTATTTCGTGGCGGCCAGTTTTTTATTGGTGGAGGAAGCCGGAGTGCCCGGAGAAAACCACCAACCTTCAATAGGAAAACTGACAATCCTAGTCAATTAAGATTGGAGTCGAGTGCACCCGCATGAGCGGGGTTCGAACTCAAAACCTTAGTGTTGACTGGCTAGTGATAACAGTAGTAACTACTTAGACCACTCGGCCACCGAGACCTCTAGGTACGAAATGGTATACATACAAATCTTTCATCACAAAAAAGTCCCCAGATTTTCCTTAAAACAGCATCTGCACCAGTTATATATAACGGCCAAGTAGTAGAATGTAACATTTTATTTTACAAGGGAGCACAGCGTTCTTTTATAACTCAGAAATTGGCTGACAAACCGACGGGAAAAGTCAGGATTCATCTGTCTGTGAATTTATCTCAGAATGTTCGTATCTTAGACACTGTAACAATACAACCACAGACCGACACAGGAGAAACGGTGCATATCAACACACATTGTTCCACAGATTGCCGTCCCCATTCAGAACAAGATTTCGAATACTACAAGTAGTAACTACTTAGACCACTCGGCCACCGAGACCTCTAGGTACGAAATGGTATACATACAAATCTTTCATCACAAAAAAGTCCCCAGATTTTCCTTAAAACAGCATCTGCACCAGTTATATATAACGGCCAAGTAGTAGAATGTAACATTTTATTTTACAAGGGAGCACAGCGTTCTTTTATAACTCAGAAATTGGCTGACAAACCGACGGGAAAAGTCAGGATTCATCTGTCTGTGAATTTATCTCAGAATGTTCGTATCTTAGACACTGTAACAATACAACCACAGACCGACACAGGAGAAACGGTGCATATCAACACACTTATTGTTCCACAGATTGCCGTCCCCATTCAGAACAAGATTTCGAATACTACAAGGAGCTTGCCACATTTGAAAGGACTTAAACTTGTACATTCTGTGCACAGTGGAGAATATTTTGAGATCGATATACTTATAGGCGCGGACTACTACTGGGAAATTATCATGAACCAAATTATAAGAGGAAAAGGACCCACCACTGTACAGTCAGAAATAGGATATTTATTATCAGGACCAATCAATATAAACATCAGCCAGCCTTCAACATCTTGACCAGATCTTGCAAACGTTATTTCATACAAGAACACATGTATTGACGACGAGAACGGAAAATACACGTCAAAGTTGCAATGGAAACATGACCATTCAGTACTAACTTCAAATATAGTCGGTGCTGAAAGTAGAACAGAGAACACATCGCAATGGCACGTTCAAACCAGATCGCACATAAATCCATTTGAGGAAAATCTCCAAGGAAATAACTTGCTACCAAGACTGCCCGAACGAGCACACCCTAAACTGGTGGAGTCAAGAAGCCACATAGATACAGGCCAGGAACTAGTCACATTGCCGTTTCGTGAAGCTGCCGTGTGTGCCAGAAGAATCATCCAAGAATGGACTAAGATATAACCTTTAATTGTGATCAGTTAAGGTTAAGTGACTAAATTATTTTATTTGCGATGGACATTAATTTAAATGTCTTTATCTATATTGTAATAACTGACCTTCAATCATTTTTACAACCTGGAATTTACCAATTCAACTGAAGAAAGAAATCAACTACATATACTGATATAAACTTTATTTGGTGATAACCTGCAACAGAAAATATTATTGACTTTGTGAACATTAATGTGAACTGCACATATTGTAACATTTGTATCTTTTAACTTTTTCCATTTTTGATCTCTTTTGATGGCAAGTTTAAATATCTAAAGTAGTCTTTCAGAGTAAGAAATAAGGCATTGTATTAATAATTTTATTAAAGCTTCATTGTTTATACCTGTAAAAGAATAGTTTATAGGACTTATATTTTTAACCAGTTTACCGCTGGAATTTAATATAAGTACTACCGGCGTCTGCTAGTACTACGCACTGCTAGATATTGGAAACAAGTCTAGTTACAAAGTTTTAAGCTTCTATCTATAAAGTTTAATAAAGGAAAAGTAATTAATGGACAGGCATTCTAATGTTCGTTTTATATTTAATTTTTTAATGTGCTGGTTTTCCTGTCAGGTTCCTATTTTGTCCGACATTTTCCTGTCAGTCCTGACAGGGTTCTCATTGGCCCTCGGGGATCCCTGGCTAGATCCCTTATTTTTGATTGGCTTTCAGGGATCTCCAAAAAGTATAAATAGCGCTCTGCTGAGTGAAATGGCGGATATTTTTGTTAGCTTAAGTCTAACTAGTAAGCTTAACCATCTTTGTGTTTATCATTACCAGACCAATTCCAAACAGAATAGCCAAGCATTGTTCAAATACTCTAATTTATTATGAAAAAATGAAGTATTTTTACTTTACCCTGAGGCTACTGTTCCTCATGTAACACTGCAAACTGAACTTAGCATTATTTTGATAGGGCGTTATTTAATGACATCATAATATGTGTGATGTCACACTGTTTCATTAAAAAACTCATGTGCATTTATCACTGATTAAGATTTTTCACTGAAATACATTTAAAAACCCTTATTTTTAAAAAGAATTATGTAAAAGGACAAGTTTTGAAAATTTGCACTTCATTACACTTTAAGTATATGATAAAAATGACTTTCACAGTAGTTTAAAATGGTTTCTATAGTTGAAAATACCAGATTTCCTTTGGTAAAAACAATTAAGTATTTCGTTTTTTTTTTATAATCTACAAATTTGCATAATTTCTCAGTAAAAATGTACTTTTAAAAATACACCAGAAAATTTTATTAAATGCTTTAACAGGGTCTATGTATTGCAATTTAAGGTTATCATCAGATGTTTTGTCCATATTATGACTAGTGAAGGTATACTGGAAGAAATTAATTATACGTACACATTGTATTTCTGCTCTTGTTGGAAGGTTGCAACCCGATATAGCAGGGACCATAGTTCTTTTACCCTGTAAACTATATCAGAGCAAATACCACCAGCAATTATTTCAACATCGCCCCCAGATTATTCTGAGTAGGTTTCCACGTATACAGATAGACTGGCCTGTGACCTAGATTATTTTACTACGGAATTTACAACCAAAACTCCAAATACTATGATTGACGCTTGACGTTCCAAGGGGGGTCTCTGTACCGTTTTATGCTCTGGGTATTATTATATTTGTATGAAAGATTTCTTATAGCTTCATATTGAATTTATTAAGAGTTGATTTTGACTTTGTTAGTATTTTAAAGTTTTTTATATGAAACCAGTGCATTTACAAGCCATGCAACCAATGGTTGAAAACCAATAATTTTGGCTACAATACCAGGTGTAAGAACTTTTAACCTAATACCAAGGTCGTCCTAAAATATTGATTTTGTCTTATAACAGTTTAAGGTCTACAGACCCGATCCGTAACATATCTATAAAGTTTAATATCGGAAAAGTTATTAATGGACAGGCATTTTAATGTTCGTTTTATATTTAATTTCTTAATGCGCCGGTTTTCCTGTCAGGCTCCTATTTTGTCCGACATTGACAGGTTTCTCATTGGCCCTCAGGAATCCCTGGCTAGATCCCTTATTTTCGATTGGCTTTCAGGGATCTCCAAATAGTATAAATAGGGCTCTGCTGAGTGAAATGGCGGATATTTTTGTTAGCTCAAGTCTAAATAGTAAGCTTAACCATCTTCGTGTTTATCATTATCGGACCAATTTCAAACAGAATAGACAAGAATTGTTCAAATACTTAAATTTATTATGATAAGATGAAGTATTTTTAAGGAAAAGTAAATGTAGCGGCAGTTATCCCTCACCACACTAAGTGACCTAAATGTCCCGAAAATGATTACTAAGGCGTCTGCATTTGTGTGTATATATATGTTAATAATTATAATATACGTTAGAATTTGTATTTTAAAACTCAACTATGGAGTAGAGCGAGTGCATTGCCTGGCATCTATTCGTCTTCGGAGGTAGAAAATCCAAGTTGCAGTATATTCCTGACGAGAGCATAATCGACCTTAAGATTGTCAACAGACCCTTCCACAATTACTCGGCCTGTAGCGGCGGTTTGTTACAATATTGTGAACGTAAACTTTTTAAATTTTCGTTACATATTTTACTTTTGTCGGCCCCCAGAATGTCGGAAAATACGCGAAGTACTAACATTGATCTATGGTAACGTTGTAACAATAACGCTGTAATGAATGACGTTATTGTTTAGATGTCATAGCTATCACGTCGATTTTTAAACGTATATTGCAATCATAACGTATTTATTGAGACACCACAACATAGGGTAGGGTAGGGTAGGGTAGGGTAGGGTAGGGTACGGTAGGTGTAGGTGTAGGTGTGGGTGTTGGGGTAGAAGTAGGGGTAGGGGTAGGGGTAGGGGTAGGGTAGGGTAGGTTTGGGTAGCGTAGGGTATGGTAGGTTAGAGAAGGTGTAGGTATAGGGTAGGGTAGGGTAGGGTAGGTGTAGATGTAGGGGTATGGTTTGGTAGGGTAGGTCGTTGGGTGGGGTAGGGTAGGGTAGGTTAGGTGTAAGTGTATGGTAGGGTATGTTATGGTAGGGTAGGGTAGGGTAGGGTAGGGTAGGGTATAGTATGTGTAGAGGTAGGGTAGTGTAGGGTTGGGTTAGGTAGGGTTGGGTTGGGTTAGGTTGGGTTCTGAATCTTTTAATGCTATGTCAATTATAGTAAGATAGCAAGTTAGCAAGAATACTATTGTATTCACCTTGACATGGACAACTGCTTGGCTCATAAATCTTTTTTTCTTCATCTTGAAGGATGGCTCCTATAACATGCTGGTTAGCTTTTTGCATCTCTCTAGATGTTTGACTTGTAAGCGGACGAAGAATTCTAGTGCATTTTTCTTCGAAATCACTACCACCAAGTCTAACAACGGCCTAAGATGAAAAAAACAACAACATTTAAATGTAAGTAAAAGAAATGTTTATATATTGTAAAAGAGAGAGCAGTAATACCAAAAAAACAGCAAAACTTGCAAGTCGAAAATAAAATGACAATGCCATGGCTAGTAAAAGATAACAGTCAAAAGACAAACAACAATACACAAAAAATAACATAGAAAACCAAAGACTGAGCAACACGAACCCCACTAAAACTGGCGATTATCTCAGGTGCTCCAGACGAGTAAGCAGATCCTGCATGGTAACATGGTAAAAGTAAAGTAGGATTTGAATTACTTTAAAACCCCATGAAGTTAAGATCTATAAATACAAGTACTTTTTGTTAATGAAATATCAGTACATACTTTAAAGAAAACAGGCATGATAAAAGCCATTTTTGGGACATTTTAATAACAATTGTCTTTTGACTTTTTAGTTTAAGAGAAATCTGTATACCCAAGTGCAAAAATTTCATTGATGCTACCACTATGATGTCAAAAACATGTCGAAATTGCCATCATTTGTCTAATACCGTCTGCCGAAATAAATATAATAAAAAAAAATATTTTGTACAAATAATAACGTATGAATTACGTTATTAAATAAAAAAACAAAACAATCATACCTTGGCGCGTATAGGGTCGTTAAGTTGGTTACTTATTCCTTATTCCTTATTCGTTATCTATTCGTAACTTATTCCTTATTCCTTATTCATTATCTTTTCGTTATTTTTTCCTTATTCCTTATTCGTTACCTATTCGTTATTTATTCCTTATTCGTTACCTATTCGATACTTATTCCTTATTTGATACTTAATCAATTTTTAATATGTTTCCCCCTTTTAATGCTTTATCTTATAATCTCTGGTAATAGTTCTTGGTTTGTCGAGGTGAAATTATCCTTTTAATGCGTATGTATGATCCTTTGTTAAGCTCGACTGATCCCCTGATACTTTATATTCGTTACTTATTTGTTCCTTATTCGATTTTTATACGTTGCACCTTTAAATTGCATTATTTTCGTGTCTCGTGTGTTGGTTCTTGGGTCGTATACGTGAAATTACCCTATTAACATATATGTTCTCGTTTCTGCTCTGTACTATACCCTGTTACTTATAAGCTTTTTATTTGTTCATTGTTCGATGTTAAACCTTTTTACTGCTTTATTTTCGTGTCTCTTGTGTTGATTCGAAGATGTGAAATAAACCTATTAGCGCGTGTGAACCGTTTCGGCGCTCGAATGATACCTTGTTTCTTATTCGTTCCACCTCCGCTTTTCATACGTTGCAGTTTTAATTTTAAATGCTTTCTTTTCTTTAGGTTTTTTGTCTTTGTTGTTAGTTCGTAGTTTGTAGAGGTCAAATTACCTTTTAAGTGCGCATGTTACTGTTTTTGCGCTGGACTAATACCCTGTTGCTAACTCGTTCCTTATTCACTTTTTATACGTTGCATCTTGTTAATGCTTTCTTTTCAATTTTGTTCTTGTCTCTGGTGTTATATCTATGGGTTCTTAGAGGTGAAATGACCCTATTATTACGTATGTACCCGTTTCAGTGCTTGACTGATACCCTGTTACTTATTCGTTCCTTATTTGCTTGTAATACGTGTGTTATACGTGGCACCTTTTAAAAAAATCTTTTGATCTTTTTTCTTGTTTCTTGTGTTAGCTATGGGATCTTAGAGGTGAAATAACCCTATTAGCGCATATGTACCCGTTTCAGCGCTCGACTAATACCCTGTTACTTATTCGTTCCTTATTCGCCTATAATAAGTGTGTTATATGTTGCACCTTTAAAAAAAATCTTTTCAAATCTTCTTGTCTTTGGTTCTAGCAATGGGTTCTTAGAGGCGAAATTACCCTATCAGCGCGTACATGTATGTACCCGTTTCAGCGCTCCACTGATACCCTTTTAATTATTCGTTCCTTATTTACATGTTATACGTGTGTTATACGTTGCACCTTTAAAAACAAAATCTTTTCACTGTTTTTCTTGTCTTTGATGTTAGCTATATGTTCTTAGAGGTGAAATAACCCTATCAGAGCGTACGTATGTACCCGTTTCAGTGCTCCACTGGTACCCTGTTTCTTATGCGTTCCTTATTCGTTTGTTAAACGTGTGTTATACGTGGCACCTTTAAAAAAAATCTTTTCAATGTTATTCTTGTCTCTGGTGTAAGCTAGTGGTTCTTAGGGGGGAAATACACCTTTTAGCGCGTATGTACCCGTTTCAGCGCTCGACTGATACCCTGTTACTTATTCGTTCCTTATTCTATTGTAATACGTGTGTTATACGATGCACCTTTGAAAACAAATTTTTTCAATTTTTTTCCTGTCTTTGGTGTAAGCTATGGGTTCTTAGAGGTGAAATAACCCTATTAGCGCATTTGTATCGTTTCAGCGCTCGACTAATACCCTGTTACTTATTCGTTCCTTATTCGCCTATAATACGTGTGTTATATGTTGCACCTTTAAAAAACATCTTTTCAAGTTTTCTTGTCTTTGGTTCTAGCAATGGGTTCTTAGAGGCGAAATTACCCTATCAGCGGTATGTACCCGTTTCAGCTCTCCACTGATACCCTTTTAATTATTCATTCCTTATTTACTTGTTAAACGTGTGTTATACGTTGCACCTTTAAAAACAAATCTTTTCAATTTTTTTCTTGTCTTTGGTGTTAGCTATGGGTTTATAGAGGTAAAATAACCCTACTAGCGCGTACGTTTCCGTTTCAGCGCTCGATTGATACCTTGTTTCTTATTCGTTCCTTATTCGCCTATAATACGTGTGTTCTATGTTGCACCTTTAAAAAAATCGTTATTCTTTTTCTTATCTCTGGTGATAGCTATGGGTTCTTAGACGGGAAATATACCTTTTAGCGCGTATGTTCTCGTTTTAGCGCTCGACTATACCCTGCTACTTATTCGTTCCTTATTTACATGTTATCCGTGTGTTATACGTTGCACCTTTAAAAACAAAATCTTTTCACTGTTTTTCTTGTCTTTGATGTTAGCTATATGTTAGAGGTGAAATAACCCTATCAGAGCGTACGTTTGTACCCGTTTCAGTGCTCCACTGGTACCTTGTTTCTTATGCGTTCCTTATTCGTTTGTTAAACGTGTGTTATACGTGGCACCTTTAAAAAAATCTTTTCAATGTTATTCTTGTCTCTGGTGTAAGCTAGTGGTGGTTCTTAGGGGGGGGGGGGGGATACACCTTTTAGCGCGTATGTACCCGTTTCAGCGCTCGACTGATACCCTGTTACTTATTCGTTCCTTATTCTATTGTAATACGTGTGTTATACGATGCACCTTTGAAAACAAATTTTTTCAATTTTTTTCCTGTCTTTGGTGTAAGCTATGGGTTCTTAGAGGTGAAATCACCCTATTAGGGCGTATGTTTCCGCTTACGGCCCCACTGATACCCTGTTACTTATTCGCTCCTTATTTGCTGGTAATACATGTGTTATACGTGGCACCTTTAACATGTTTTAAAAAAATCTATTCTATTCGTTTCTTGTCTCTAGTGTTAGCTATGGGTTCTTACGGGTGAAATAACCCTAATAGCGCGTATGTACCAGTTTCAGCTCTTCCGGTTACTTATTCGCTTGTTATACGTTGCATCTTTTAACAAAAAATCTGTTCAATTATTTTTTGTATCTGATGTTAGCTATGGGTTCTTAGAGGTGAAATAACCTTATTAGCGCGTATGTACACGTTTCAGCGCTCGACTGGTACCCTGTTTCTTATTCGTTCCTTATTCGCTTATAATACGTGTGTTTTATGTTGCACTTTTTGAAAAAATTCTTTTCAATTTTGTTCTTGTCTCTGGTTTAAGCTATGGGTTCTAGCAGTGAAAAAATCTTATTAGCGCATATGCACCAGTTTCAGTGCTCGACTGATACCCTGTTACTTATTCGTTCCTTATTCACCTATAATTCGTGTTTTATACGTTGCTCCTTTAAAAAAAAGAATATTTTTTTTCTTATCTCGGGTGATAGCTATGGGTTCTTAGAGGTGAAATAACCCTATTAGCGCGTATGTACCCGTTTAAGCGCTTAACTGATAGAAATCCTATTACTTATTCGTTCCTTATTCGCTTGTTATACGTATGTTATACGTGGCACCTTTCAAAAAAATCTGTTCAATTATTTTTTGTCTCTGGTGTAAGCTGTGGGTTCTTAGAGGTGAAATAACCCTATTACTGCGTATGTACCCGTTTCAGCGCTCGACTGATACCCTATTACTTATTCGTTCCTTATTCGCTTTTAATATTTGTGTTATACGTTGCAATTTAAGAAAAAACAATTCTTGTCTCTGGTGTTAGCTTTTGGATCTTAGAGGTGAAATAACCCTATTAGCGCGTATGTACCCGTTTCAGCGCTCGACTAATAGTCTGTTACTTAATGGTCCCTTGTTCGCTTATAATACGAAAATATATTTCACTTATTAGAACCAACAGCTAACAAGTAACACATTGATTTTTTTTAAAGTTGTGCAACGTATAACACACGTATTACAAGCAAATAAGGAACTTAAAAGTAACAGGTTATCAGTCGAGCGCAGAAACGGGTGCAAACGCGCTAATAGGTATATATTTTACCTTTAAGAACCCATAGCTAACACCAGAGACAAGAACAAAATTGAAAATATTGTTTTTTCAAAGGTGCAACCTATAACTTACGTATTACAAGCGAATAAGGAACAAATAAGTAACAGGGTATCAGTCGAGCGCTGATACAGGTACATACGCGCTAATAGGTATATTTCACCTGTAAGAACCCACAGTTGCATTTGTAACACCAGAGACAATTACAACATTGAAAATATTTCCTTTTTAAAAGGTGCAACGTATAACACACGATTTACAATCGAATAAGGAGCGCAAAAGTAACAGAGTATCAGTCGATCGCTGAAATGGGTACATTTGCGCTAATAGGTATATATTTTACCTGTAAGAACCCACAGCTTACACCAGAGACAAGAACAAAATTGAAAATATTTTTTTTAAAGGTGCAACGTATAACACACGTATTACAAGCGAAAAAGGAACAAATAAGTAACAGGGTATCAGTCGATCGCTGAAACAGGTACATACGCGCTAATAGGTATATGTCACCTCTAAGAACCCAATATTATTTTTTAAAGGTGCAACGTATAACATATGTATTACAAGCGAATAAGGAACAAATAAGTAACAGGGTATTAGTCGAGCGCTGAAACGGGTACATATGTCACATGAAGTTATTTCCGTATAAAAACCCATAGCTAACACCAAAGAAAAGAAAAGAATTGATTTTTTTAAAATGTGCAACGTATAACACACGCATTACAAGCAAATAAGGAACGAATAAGTAACAGTCGAGCGCTGAAACGGGTACATTTGCGGTAAAATTGCAATTTCACTTCTAAAAACCAAGAACTATTACCAGAGATAAAAAAGTAAAACACGAAAAGGTGGAAACATACTTACATCGAATAAGACATGAATAATGAATAAGGAATAGGTTACAAATAGGTAACGAATAAGGAATAAGGAATAAGTAACGAGTAGGTAACGAATAAGGGATAAGGAATAAGTAACCAACTTGACGACCCTGGCGCGTATCTAGGTTTGAATTACAATACACTGGCGGAAGATACTTTAATGACATTTAAAAGTCGTAAGTGAAATGTTTTATTCAATAAAAAGAGGAAAGGGACTCAGAGTGTAGGTGTTATGGTATGCAAAAACGAAAGATTGTCTTATTTACCATCGCTTGGTTTAGGCGACTATTTCGTTAAAAGAAATATTTTCTATCAAAAGATGAAGACGTTGCTGTGAATACACCAATCTGCCAGAGCTACGTGTAACTTAGTAACTTGGACTGGCATCCTGAGAACAAAAAAATACTCAATTAAAAGCATGTGGAAACATCAACACAAAGCTGGGGATACGATGATAGTCCGTCAGAAGGGGACGGTTAAATCTCCGTGTTAAGAGAGAGCAATATCTCTTGCACGTAAAAGACACCCTTGTAGTTTCGAAAAAGGGCAGGCTAATGCCGCTACAAGGCAGCACTCTCACCAGCAAAGTGGAAAGGGATTACTATAAGTTGTAATAACTTGTTTCCCAATCCACTATAAATAAAAATGTGTAAACTAACACAAAGTAATTAAGAAAAAAAAACATTTGAGATCTAAAGATAATGTTATCATTATAACATGTAAATGCATTCATACCCTATAAACACATCTCCATACAACATTAAATTCTATTGCTGAAATCTTTTTCAGTGGATCATTATAACGTTTCCTCGCCAAAAAGAATCTAGATAGATCAGCTTGTATACTTTTATCATCTATAGACGGAGTCGTGTCAAACTGAATCGTTGGAACTTCTTGTCCATTTGAACTTAACCAAAAACGTAGCAGTAGAACAAAATCATAATCCATTGACGATGTGATTACATAATCATCTGTACAAATTAAAAAAAACAATCGATTGATTTTTTAAATTATTACTAAAAAGTGTTTGGTAATATTCACAATTGTTTTTAAATTCCAAAATTCTAGGATAAATTTAACGTGTAAAGCGTTACAGAAACTAGATTTATGCGATGATAATAACATAAATAATTAGGAGTACAAATTTAGTAGATACAACCTCTATGTAAATTATTAACTAAATTGTTGTTATTTTGTGTGTCGCTTTTTTGCAAGAACATTGTAAGAAGTATCCAATCTCCGGTCTGGATAAGTAAATCAAAATATTTTTAAAATGCAAACTTAGGTAAAACATATTGTATTATACCGAAAAAAAGATTCATCTGTCATAATGCAATGTTAAATTAAAGTTTTGTCATTGCAGCTGCGTTTAGTGGTAATTGAGGTTTTGTTTTGTGAAATAGATAACCTTACCTGTAATTGGAAAAATCTTTTGAAATATTGGGGTCTGAATACACTTCAACGTCATATATTTTTGGCTATTTCACTTTTTAATCCCCCATGAGACGTGTTGCGGGGGACATAGAAATACCTGGCGTCCGTCCATCCGTCCGGTCTTATTAGAGCCCTCATGTGTAAAACTCGTGCCAGATTTTTATAACACTGTCATCACAGGTTTATAATTGCAATGTTTCGAACAAGGTCGAAAATCAATGCCGATTAACTTATTTTAAAAGAGTAATGCCCCTTGGAAATATAAATTATATGGAAAATTTCATTGTTAGCGCTCTCATGTGCACAATTCTTGCCAGATTGTTATGAAATTTATATCATAGGGTTATATCAGCAATGTATTCGACAAGTTCGAAAATCTGTGCCGAGACAGTTATTTTTAAAAGTGTTATGCCCTTGAAAAATTGCATTTTTATCCCTCTTAAGTTTAATTCTTGCCAGATTTTTATCAAATTTATATCAAAGGTTTTTATCAGCAATGTATTTGACAAGTTCGATAATCGGTGCCGATCAAGAGTTATGCACTTGGAAGTATTAATATATATGGCAATTTGCATTGAAAGTGCTCTTGTGTGTACCATGTTTGCCGGACAAGTTTGAAAATCAGTTCCAATCAAGTAATTGCTCTCAGGCTACCATTTCTCTAAGATATTCGAAAATTATTTAAAGTAGAAAAAGTTTTTTTCTGTATTGACTTCGAAAGAAAAATTATGTGCAGCGCGGGGGACATTGGAACTCTGTTCTTTATATATTCGAGCGTCACTGATGATATTTTTGTAGAAATCACGCGCGTTTGGCGTACACAATTATAAAATCCTGGTATTTTTATGTGTTTATTTCTAATTAAAAAAAATGAAGCTGATTTATCAAATTTGAAAATAAAAATTTTGAATATTAAATGAACCGAAACCTTAAAAAATCTTGTTCCTTAACCTTTTTTGCCTTGCTCATGCTCGTCATCTACGTTAACCGGAAATAAGAGTATGTTTGCATGTGCACAATCAAACCACAATACTATTTATACCTCTTGTGCGATAAATGGAATCTTTTTGATCCTTAGACAATGAATTTACAAAGTTTTCAGGAGTATCCAAATGAGTCTTTTCCATATTTGTATCTAGTATTTTCTCTTTAATTTTCTGAATCACAGCGAGGTTTGTAATGTGGAAAAGCTTTTCTATACGAATACCATTTTCTATCTCTTCATCGACTTTTGTCTTCTCACATATAACTGTAATATAAAAATGTGTATACATATATTATTTTAGTTGAGGATTATGTACTCTTTGCTCTACAAACAAAGTTTGTCCTCATTTTTACGGAGACGTTGTTTACCATGCCCGGAAATTTAGAAACGATACTGGTAAACTTATTGATCCTCTAAATAAACTTATTCTAAAAGCTAAGGTTAATAATTCAACACTGTAATTAGATCATTGAATATTGTTTTTATTGGTATTAATATCGATTTTGTTATCAGTAAATTAAAAGCAAATGAAATATTATTGTTATATGCATATACACATTCATAGATCTTCAATCTGTCGATACAAGCTGTATCTTGGCATTGCAAAAAGTCATGTTTTCTCTGACTGTATGACGTCTTTACACTAAATCCATTGGATGTGTACTGATTGATAATTTAGTCTAAGATGCATGATTTTTTTATTTAGTTATTAGTGGCTTTAAAATAGTTGTCAGTAACTGTGAGTGACCTATAGTTGTTAAGTTTTGTGTCATTTGGTCTCTTGTAGAGAGTTGTCTCATTGGCAATAATACCACATCTTATTTTTATATTTGTCAGTACAATATTTACAATCTTGATACTAAAACGAATCCAAACAACATTAAACCTTTTTTTTTCTATCCATGATAGTTGATTAGAAATGTCTTTTTATTCATGTTGATTGCTGTTTAAATCTAAGAAAAAGAGGATTAATTTCTGAATGTTTTTAATTAATTTTATCCTAATTTACCAAAAATAACGCTTGAGGCGTATAGATGTCACGAAACGATGCTAAGATAAACATAGAGACACCGTTTATAGTTATGTTTATCGAATACGGATATATCGTTAAAAATAGTCTGCTTAACGTTGGATTATTCTAGGTTGTATTTCGATACTTGTCTAAACATAGAAGGTAAAAAACAAATAAATCAAAACGCATGTTTTGATATAAAATTCGAAAAGTTCGAAACTAATTATTTTTTAAACTAGTTCATTGCATTAAATGGGAGATCCTGTTTTTGTAAAGCGCTTCCTTTGATATTATCGATGTTAATGTAACGTCCAGTGGTACTTATCAAGCATAATCAGATCGCATAAAAATCAATTTTCACATTTGATTCATAAGTCACGTAAGTGAGGTTGATGGTTCGACCGAAATGAAATGTTAAACATTAAACTGACACGTGCAGAGAGAAATTCTGACTCTTTTGGAAAATACTGAAAATATTCAATTATAAGTTACTTAATATACTTATACTACATGTGGACAAATTTAAACTATATTATTTAGATATTTAAATTTTATTCAGCAAATTTTCTTTTTTGCAGCATTTAGAAGTCTTGCATCAACAACTATAAAATACTTAATGTATTGATATGTATTTTTAATGGGGAATATTTGATGGAGATATATTATCTAACGAAAATCAATAACGTTTGGAATGGACAGACGATAGATATATCTATTGGGGTTTCTTTTCTGCTTGAGTGATTTACCTTACAAGGAGATGGACACTTTAAAGTTTAAAAGGACTTAACATCAGTTTGAATTAGGTTAACGGGGGCGTGGCTTATTAGTTTGACGGAGGTTAACCGGGTCTTAAAATAACTTGAATGACCGCAAGGGAATCTATTTGACTGGTATTAAAATGGTTTAAAATGGATTGAATAAGATAGAAAACCGTTTTTAATTTTTGTTAATCTGATTCAATATTCCAGTCATCTTTTTTAAAGATGGTTAATACCTATTTGGCCGTTCAAGCTAAATTCTGGTTACTAGTGTTAAAGTCATACACCGTTCAAATGAAACATTCTATTACTTAGGCCGTGTTTGATTAAAGAATCCGGAAACGGGTTTGAAAACCAACACGTTACTTTACAGGAAACCAAAACCGGATTTCTCGGATTCAAGAAACGGTGAAACCTGCCCTTAGACAAGATTAATCGGATTCAAGATGGACGGGGTTTAACCGGTTCCTTTATCGTAGACCAGTCCATCTATAGACAGATGTTTTGGGATAAACTCATCAATGAAGTGTCCAGTTGGGGTGATCCGGTTAAGATATGCAAACACTGTATGTGTATTTGCAAAGTAAAAAGTGAGACACAGCCGTTCATTTTCTTGTAAAACGGAGTTTAATTATATGTTAAGATTGTCACTTTTTGGAAATTATGGATATAAGTATAACAATGACGACGGCAGTTACTAAATATGCATATGTCGCTATTCTATAACGTTTTGATATGCTTTTTTCTTCCTTTTATTCCGAATGCATTTTTTCGGGGGAGAGGGGGCAGACATTTCTCCGTATAGTATAGCCTCGCTAATCAGGGACTGGGAAGCTTCTACAGTTCTCTTTGTAGAGACGTTAAGAGCAGTGGCCGTCGGTTGTTGAATATGCAACTCGAAAAACTTTGACACGTTGTAAACTATTAAAATTTGACTGAGAGAAAAGTATCTTTTTACGCTCTCCCAGGATTCGTAATACAGAAAGATTTACCCGAACTTGCAGATGTGCTTAAATAAAAAATCCAATAAGCGGTTAAATATACACGCGTAAATCGAATAAAATCTTTTTTTGAAATCTGTATTTTATGATAATATTTAAGGAGGGAAAAATAGGGTGTACATATTTTTTTTATATATAATTTTCAAAAATTACGTTTATTATTGATCTCGCAAATAGAAAAGTTGTAAACAGAATAATACAATAACTGATACTTTAAAATACATGTACTTACATGTAGCTATAGCACACATAAATACTATAAATTTTAAACTTTTTTATTTGTCCAATAGCATCATGATAATACTCGGTTCTGTTGTATATCTGTTTGGTGACACTGATATGTGATTAGAAATCAGTAATAATAAGTATAGATTATCGGGTTTTCTACACATTGATATCGTAAAATATCAGCCGCGAGCCTCGATAATTGTAATGATTATCAACCTTATCCCACACGTGAAGGCCATAACTGTATTATGCTACGGAACTGAAATGAAGATATAATTACTTAGTATTAAATCAGAATGAGGTCCTTTTCCTGATGTGCACAGTCTTTTTGTAGACGAATATATTCTAAATAAGTATAGATCTACAAGAAAATTTTGTAGTCGCATTTTATCTTTATTTTGCACACACGCAGTTTCCTGAGGGAAATAAAGGGTTATTTTTACGACGTGTATTTTACCTTATATTTATTCTGCCTACGCGCAGTTACCCGCGGGAAAGAGGGATTATTTGTGATAGTTATTTTATTAGTGGTTACTATATTAAAATATATAATATCATATTTGTGTGTACGGTTTAGATACTTTTTTGTTTCGTTAGATTTTTTTCAATACAGTATGGCTTTTGTTTTGCTGATTTTTTTAATACAATCCTGTCGTGTCCTATAGTATGAAGGACATATTATTTTCATCATATTTATTTTCAGTTATCGCCGAGCTCAGTTTTTCATTTTCAAAAAAATCAAATTGTCTTCTACTAGGGAGCTAACTAGACAAAACTACCGACGATTGCTGTCAGTGTGTATTCGCTGCTTATAAAATAATTTTTTCAGCGGACACAGGCTTTCTACCTCCGCCACGAGGGTGTTTTTTACAGCATTATCACCAATCATAAACACAAGTTCTTTAAACAGTGATCTGCTGACACGGCACACAGATCTGAAGTCATCTATATTTTAGAAAGGTAGCACATTTTCAACATAACCTTCAATATGTGGTTTTTTGCCCCTCTTTGTTCTTCCAGCAGCAATAAAATTAATAATTGGTATAACATTTAAATCGTCATCGAAAAAAAAAATCAAGCACAGAAAAAATTGAAATATCCATATTCATTATTTTTATTTAGAATATTCTTTGGTCTCGAAATGAAATCAAACACTGAAATTAAAACCGGTTTTCTAACAAAAACCCATATTTAGTTTTATCGTTTGATTTCATTTCTAAGTTTTTGAAAAACCGGATTATGAAACCGTATCTGGTTCTCTTGTAATCAAACACGACCTTAATAATGTTAATCGAAATATAAATGTTTCTTATATTAACCTAAGCTTTTCTTACAAATCAAGGTACCGTTGTCTTATTATGTACTCTGTATAGTCTTTAATGAAATGTAGATAACGGCACCTTTTGTTACACATTTGACTCTTTGGCTGGATACACTTTACTAACACATGGTAGTTGGCACATTCCATCAAGACCTGTTACACCTTTTGCGGCTGTTGCAATAGTTAACGAATATTTAGTTTCAGAAGATACACCCGACATCAAAATACTCCCGTCGACATTTTTTTGTTATTTATCGTTAAGATTGGTAATGTCATTTTATAGCATTTTATTTTAACATTTGAGGGACAGTCAGGACAAGTCCAATAGACACGTACTCTATTTGCTCTAGAAGTAGCTGTGATATCCGTTTGTGGTACTAACTATGTGTATATAATACAGAAATTAGTCATCCCCCTATTCGGACCATCATTAATCTTAATGTTGTTAAATTTCTTCAATTGTATATATGTTACTTTTTAAACCTACCAAAAATTATATATTGAAAAATTGTAAGCAATTTATTTTGAACATATAATTTTTCTACACACGAATTTAATCCACAGTAGATAGCAAACATTTCCAATAAATAGTATTAATTATATTTAATTTGTGTCATCAGCTTTGTCCACTGATATGACATTGACATTTTTGCAATTATATACATATTGACAAAAACTAAAATCTGTTAAAAAAAAAACATCTTGCTCCTAGCAAACGGAAGCATGCTACCTTATATGCGTCTCCCCTTACACGAACATATAAGATCTTATAGAAAGATTGATGCCATTTGTCCTTCAAATAAAACTTGATCTGACTTGTCATTGTACTCAATTTTTCAACCAAACTCACATATCGTGCCACTATTTGGGATTTGCATGCCGACACCTAAACTTTGCCTTGCTACATTGCACATAGTATGTTTTGGTAAATACTGACTCACATG